TTCAAATTATTTTTGAGTTACACAAAAAAGTACATTTCTTTATTAGTTAAGTTCGTTTCCATATTTAAAGAGACCAAAAAAAACTAAAATTAGTCATGTGCAAATTGTGCAGATGATTTTGCTGCTAAAACATAACGTCTAAATTGTTATTTTTTAGCATTTTGGAGATAAAAAATTAAAATAAAGGGGGTTTTAGTAACTTTATCACGTTATATTGAGGATAATTTAATCCTTTATGATGTTGGTACGACATGCAGTGATTAATTAAAAAGTAATAATTATGATATTTGGTTCTAAATACGAACTTTTAAGTACATTTTATTGTAGTGTACACGCATACAAGTACCAACAAAATATGTAACTTCTAAAAATGTGCTTAGTTTTAAAATAATATAAAAAATAATTAATTTTAGTAATGAAAATCATCTACTCAAAAATTAAAAGCATATGATTAAATTTTTTTGTGTGCTTTTTCAAATATGGATACAAATTTAACGACTTGTAGTGTGTTCTTATAAGGATGGACAAATTTACAATTTTTTTTTTAAAAGATGGAACTGCATTGTGTTTCTTATTAATGCCTTAATAGATTATGGTAAGTTGTAGAGAATACATGTGCCAAATTTCAATAACATAATAGCGGTTGGTAAGTTATGAAACAAGAAAGAAATTGGCAAAGTTAATAAAACTACCTGTATCTCGGTTATAAAGTAAGAATGTTTGGAATCATATCAGAAGCATAAAAAAACTAAGTATTAAAAAAAAAAGAGTGAAACTTCTTAGATTAATTCACTCTAAAATAAAAAAAGACAAATAAAATCCGCGTACATCAATATTTATCGCACAGCTACTTGAATATACTATTAAGGTTATAACTCTAAACGGCGATGCACGAACGACGATCGTTTGCAGTCGTTTTTATAAATTAGCTCATCATATTTTTTATGTATTAACTTTGATTTATATAAATTTATTTAAATTTATTTAAATTTATTTAAATTTATTTAAATTTATTTAAATTTATTTAAATTTATTTAAATTTATTTAAATTTATTTAAATTTATTTAAATTTATTTAAATTTATTTAAATTTATTTAAATTTATTTAAATTTATTTAAATTTATTTAAATTTATTTAAATTTATTTAAATTTATTTAAATTTATTTAAATTTATTTAAATTTATTTAAATTTATTTAAATTTATTTAAATTTATTTAAATTTATTTAAATTTATTTAAATTTATTTAAATTTATTTAAATTTATTTAAATTTATTTAAATTTATTTAAATTTATTTAAATTTATTTAAATTTATTTAAATTTATTTAAATTTATTTAAATTTATTTAAATTTATTTAAATTTATTTAAATTTATTTAAATTTATTTAAATTTATTTAAATTTATTTAAATTTATTTAAATTTATTTAAATTTATTTAAATTTTTTTAAATTTATTTAAATTTATTTAAATTTATTTAAATTTATTTAAATTTATTTAAATTTATTTAAATTTATTTAAATTTATTTAAATTTATTTAAATTTATTTAAATTTATTTAAATTTATTTAAATTTATTTAAATTTATTTAAATTTATTTAAATTTATTTAAATTTATTTAAATTTATTTAAATTTATTTAAATTTATTTAAATTTATTTAAATTTATTTAAATTTATTTAAATTTATTTAAATTTATTTAAATTTATTTAAATTTATTTAAATTTATTTAAATTTATTTAAATTTATTTAAATTTATTTAAATTTATTTAAATTTATTTAAATTTATTTAAATTTATTTAAATTTATTTAAATTTATTTAAATTTATTTAAATTTATTTAAATTTATTTAAATTTATTTAAATTTATTTAAATTTATTTAAATTTATTTAAATTTATTTAAATTTATTTAAATTTATTTAAATTTATTTAAATTTATTTAAATTTATTTAAATTTATTTAAATTTATTTAAATTTATTTAAATTTATTTAAATTATTTAATTATTTAAATTATTTTAATCTATTATAATTTATTTTATTTTTTTTATTTGTTTTATTTTAATTTATTTTAATATAAATTACAGTCATCGTTCACTCACCCATTGTTGATACACCTTGTATTAATATAGATGCATATATTATATATTTATTAAATAGTTACAAAGAGTGAATGCATTTAAAAAACTTGTTGGCTCTGTGCGAAACTCAAGAAAAAATTTTGGCAGTTAATGTGTTAACATAAAATAGATCTTAAAATGAAAATCCAAATATATCTAAAATAAATTTTTTGGATGTCACATAACCTAGTGTGTAAAGTTCTAATATACTCGATGGTGGATGTCATATAGTCGGGTGAGTAAGTTTTAATATACTGAATGTTGGATGTCAGACAGTCGAGTGAGTAAATTCTAATATACTCAATGGTGGATGTTAGACAGTCGAGGGACTAAAATATTTAATATACAAAATATACAAAACCAACTGACGCGAGCGCCACCTTCACATCTATACACTGGAACTAAATATATACATAAAATTGAAAATTAAGCATTATGACATCCAGCTGAAATTTTTTTGGCGCTCTTTTAAACCTACTTTATGATGTTTGAACCCCAAAAACGTTGTGACATCCGAATTTGGATGTCACATCGCAAACGGATGTCATAAAGATACCAACATTTTTGCGACATGATGTCACAAAGTCGGCAGGACGAATCTATATATATATATATATATATATATATATATATATATATATACATATATATATATAAGAGGAAAAAAAAATAATAATTTTATTGCTCGTGCACGACCACATCGGTTTTAACGAGCTAAAATTAATTAATCTGTCTTTTGTTATGTTAGTTTAAACTATCTCTAACCTTATATTTATTCTTAATACTATCTTTGTGAAAAAAAAAATTGTAAATTGTAAATTAATCTGTATGTTATGAATAAATATATTATTATATTATTATTATTATTATTATTATTATATCTTCCATTCCTTCTCAGATGAACCTCTTCGACCATATGCCTTCCTTATCTCTATAATCTGCTAGAAGACCCTAATTTCGCCGATTTTTAGTCCCAATCCCATTTTTGTAGCTGTGTCAATTATAAATTCTATGGCATCCATTATTTCTTCTGCATTCAATTGATGACCTTAGGAGGATGGATCCAACATGGTTGCAGCAAAATGTATTTTTCCTATTGCAAAATCTTTTCTTTCGCTCATTTTTTTCAGTACCAAAGTTTCCTCCACTTTTTTCAGTGGAGACTGATCAACAATTGGCCTCAAAATATTTATCATTTGGTCAACTTGTACCCAAAATATAGAGTCGTCAAGTATTAAAGTTTTTAGTTATTTCGATAGTATTACAGATACTGCGTCAATTATCGCTAGTGTTTGTAGAACACTTTTATTTAGGCGAAGGCTCTGTAGGCAGAAGAAATGACTTCCCCATCGTGTTTTTAGATTTTCTTTTCTTTGGTGATTTTAATAAACAACGCTTGAAGAATATGACTGTTTTTGATAGTTTTTATAGCATCTGCAACTTTTGCCATAAATGTTTTGATAGACTTGCAGCTCAATATGTCATTCCAAACTAAATGCAGTAGGTGAGCAATACAGCCTAATGACACAATGTGATCGAATTTTTCGGTTAATAATCGAAAAGCTCTCATATTTGCAGCATTGTCACCAATGATAACCAGAAATGTTTCAGCCCAATACTTTTCTGCATTTGATTTGACAAATATTCAGCATCGTGTCTGTTGGTTTTGGTAATTATAAAGTGGACAAACCGTGGTTTCGGTTTGGTGATGACATAATTAACAATTGGCTCGTTACGAAGATTACTCCATCCATCACATTGCAAATGCAAATTTTTCGAATCTTTTAAATCTGCTTTTATTTCGCTCTGCAGAGCCTCATATTTATTATTCAAGTAAGATGTGGCAATACGATGTCTAGAAGGCAATACGAAAGAGGGCCCCAGAAGTTATTACAAATATCCAACTAACACTAACCTGTGAGCCAAAAATAAAAATATGCTTGACCACGATCGACAAAGGAAAAGTTATGAGTCACGGCCATGATTACATAGGCTTCTGAATGAAATCCAAATTGTTATGATCCGACATGAAAGATTTATTCCATGGCCAAATTTTAAAACTGATATATATCGGATATATATCAGATATATATCATGTGATATGATATTTATATAAATATCATGATATTTTCGAACCCTGTTAGTAAGTGAGAATACCGCAGAGTGGTAATGGGTCCTATGATTGAACGTTTACGTTATCCGTAACGTACATGTTAGGCCGAATTTTAAAAGTAACGAGGCAAGTTCGTATGATGGAAACCTGTTAAATTAGAACATAACAGGCGGAAAATAACAGTAATGTGTTATGAAAGACTTTACATCATACGAATTTGTCTCTTTACTGTTAAAACTCGGCCTAACATGTACGTTACGGATAACGTGAACGTTCAATCATAGCACCCATTATCGTTGTGATACACGTATTACCATGACTGTGTAATACATTTATTTCGATAGAAATCATTATTTCATCTCTGGTCAAAAATAATTTCGTGTTCTGCTTAAATATTAATAATTTTTTGAAATTCCAACTCATGACAGTTCCAACTTTTGGAAAATACAACTCATGCGTCGCACTCTTTACGTTTTCAACGATGAGACTGATAATTGTAACATTTCAAAAAAAATTGTTGATAATAATTCTGCGTATGGTGGTTATAAGCACATAAATCAAATTATCATATATTTTTATTAACTTAAATTCAACCTCTCAATATGCACATTAGTCGAAGTGCGGCGTTATGCGGTGGATATAATAAGTCAGAGTAATGTCGTTTCACTCTTCTTGACTTATGTACTTATTCCCACCACACGCAGAATTATTGTATCACTTATTACCCTTATGTCGAAATTATAATGGTACTATTTTCGATTTTTTTTTTTTCAGGATATCGTTAAATACGATGACTCTTATAGTAGACAGTCCCACTGTATACACAAGCCAAGGTGTCCCAATTTCTGTAACTGGAATAGCACAGGTATGTTCATCTTTATTTTTAAATAAACTTTGATTTGGTATTTGGTTACACAAATATTAATATCTTCAGTAATAATAATAATAATAATTCTAAGGTCTACTAAATCTGTTGAAATGAGTGGTATGTTCAGGGCGAGTAGTGCTTGTCTGCTATCTGTATAGATGAGCATGTTCCTTCCAGTGATATTGTTTCTGGTTATTTCTTTTGCTGCTATGATAATCCCCGTTAGCTCTCTTTGAATTACACTGGCACTATTGCTCACAGCCCATTTTATGTTTAGGTTTAAGAATCTGGAGTATATTCCACATCCTGAGCCTTGTTTTGTTTTAGAACCGTCGGTGTAGATATGAATCGTACCTGCCACTTCTGGCTCTTCTATTTGTTCTATTATAACTTTATATGGCTTATGGAAGATATATCTCGGTGAGATGGGGTCCATGTTCGCTTGAAGCAGTGGGAGCATATCGAGCTCCTCCTGCCAAAAGTGACGTCTCGCCTCACCAGATCCTACATCAGGTTCTATTCCAACCGTGCGGAGGCATGTCATTGTCATCAGAGCAACCTCCTTGATGTAAATATCAAGGGGAGTAAGACTAAGAATGACTTCCATGGCTCTGGTCGGTGTTGTTTTCACGGCTCCTGTTATGTTGAGACATGCTGTTCTTTGAATTTGTTCTTGTTTACGGATAGCTGTTAATTTTTGGGTTTTCGGTACTCAGACAACTGCACCGTATGTTAGCATAGGTCTTATGATAGCCATGTAAGTCCATGCGACGGCTCTGGGGGAAAAACCCCAGGTGCGCCCCACGGTGTGGCAGCAATGTTCATAAGCAATGTATGCTCTTTTAACTCTGTTTTCTAAATGCGAGTTCCATGTTAACTTGCTGTCAAAGGTGAGACCTAGGTACTTCACCTCTGATGCAGAGTTTAGTTTTGCGATCAGGAGTTCTGGAGGTTTTAATTCCATTTTCATCCTTTTGTTGAATGACCAGGTCATCTGCATATGTTATTGTGTAGTGACTGTTATTATTGAGGCGGCTGATGAAGGTGACGAGGATCATATTCCACAGTAGAGGTGATAGCACCCCTCCCTGTGGACATGCCCTACATCTCCATTTGCATAGTTACAGTCCACACCGAACAGGAGGTCAAACCCCCAAATGTTTACGAAGTGTATTTCTTTGCTCCATCGTAATCCATTGAGAGCGTTATGATCTTTTTCGATTTGTTTACAGATAAAAAAAATAATTTTCAGGTAAAAATTCAAGGTCAGAACGAAGAAATGCTGCTAGCAGCTTGCGAGCAGTTCTTGGGAAAAAAGCAAGATGAGATCCAGAACATCGCCCTCCACACCCTGGAAGGTCACCAAAGAGCCATCATGGGTTCGATGACGGTGGAAGAAATTTACAAAGATCGCAAGAAGTTCAGCAAACAAGTATTTGAAGTCGCCTCGTCCGATTTGGTCAACATGGGTATCACCGTGGTGTCTTACACCCTTAAAGATATCCGAGACGAGGAGGTAAATACCATTTTAATGATTATTATTAATAATAGTTGACATTTTATTTATATTTTCTTTTTCGTTTGCTACAAAAGGGCGCAAAGGTATGTTTATTAACTGTTTTGGTTTTGTTGTGGTGTTTGAAAAATCAGTTCATTGTTGTTGCAAAATTGCAAATTGAGTTGCAAGAAAATTTCGTTGCATGATAAATGAAGATATGTAGTATGACCTAAATAATAAATTATTGTCTTGCAACTCATTGTTCAAAATTTTCAATAAAAATCACTTATAAGTTTTTAAATTTATTTTGCAGCATGTTGTCGTTGTGACTAATTGGCATTTTTTCTACCTTCTCCATGTTTTCTCTTTGTTTAGTTAGAAATTTAAAATATTCACTAAATGTGGAGTTTTATGCAAAGAATTTATTGTAACAGACAAGGGTGGGTATTGCGTAAAATAAAGAATTATCATTCTTTATGTGTGTGTCTTCTTAATTATTACTATTTTGTATAGGAAAAATTAATATTGATAGCAAAAATGTACAGGGTATTCCAAACTTCTAGTCAGATAGCATTACGAGATCATGGAAACAGATATAAAAATGAACTTAATATTTGGCTAATAATGTTTAAAAACTTAGCACCTACTGTACTATAGTTTATTTGAATATGCATGATAGCACAGTTTTTATGGCAAAAGTCTGTATACAGGATGGTTCAAAGCAGAAAAAAGTTAATATATTATCTGAATTTTCACTAGATTTTAGTATGACCCTCGAATACAATACATCTTAAAATGTAAATGAGCAAACCTTAAGGGATTAACCAATAATTCTATACCTCAGTGACCGAAAACACGATATTACTTTAATATAAAAAATAGTAAATACCCAGAATTATTTTTATAAAAATAGTATACTAGATATTAGGACATTTCCTTAAAATTTAATAAATATACACACAACCAAATTTATATGATAAAAAAATATTTTCTCATAAAACAACTCATATTTCGTTTTTAGAAATACAGGGTGATTCTATATAAATTTTTTTGTTTGTATTTTGAGTACTAGTGTCATATAAACTTATTATAATTAATATAAATATAGAGTTACATACCTAAATAAATAAGTCGTTTCCTCCCGATAAAGAGTCATCATCATCAGTTTTCTCACTTCCCACAGAAATAATAATTGGTTCTATTGTTTCCTCTATTAACATATCAAGTTTCCAGAATTTCTCTTCCTCTGCTATGACATGTCTTATAGCGTTTTGCCAATTGTCCGGTGAAATTTCTGATATGGAGTCACATATCCTTTCATTTGAGCCCAGATTAATTCACAGTGATAAGGTGGTAACCGCAACACTTTAACTCCATGTTCTTTTGCTATTTCATTTACACTATACTTCTTAAATTTTGGTAAATGTTGTTTACATAACTGCAATAGCTCTTTTTTGAATAATCCCTCTTCTACCACTATTTCTTTGGTTATTATCCAATCGGAGAATTCTTGCTTTTTCCATTTAATGTTAGGTAACGGTTCCTTTAATCTTGGATGGTAACTGGTATTCTCCATAACTATTACAGAATTGGTCGGTAATAAATCTATCATTTGACTGAAATATTCCTCAAAAACATCAACAGTCATTTCTTCATGGTAGTCTTTCGTAGATTTTGAAACAAATTCTAACAAGTCTCTATCAACAAATCCTTTATCTCTTGCAATATGAGTGATAATTAAACGGCGACCTTTACCATTTGGAAATTTTAAGCCAGAAGAACAAACCTTTTATAAATGTCCGACGAGCATTTGTAGCCAGTTTATCTTTACAAAATGTCCTTCACTTATCTATGTTTTATCCAAATAAAAAATGCTTCTGTCTGCTCTTCTTAATTTTCTAATTTCCCTTAAATATTGCCTCTTCCAACAAATAATTTCATCTTTCTCTATGAGCGCAGATTTTCTATCGTTCTTCTCTCAAACGAAGTCTAATTCATGTAAAGTTTTCCACAATTTGTCTCTTTTAACGTTTGGTAAAGTTTCGTCTTCATTAATGTCTACTAAAAGTTTATCCAAAGTAGGTATCTTTTTTTTGTAAATAAAACGAATGCACTTTTCTTCAGATCAGTTGTTTCATAGTACCATCTATTTAAATGTGTTTTTTCCCAGTTGACGTTTTAGGTGCTACTGTAATACTTCCAACCTTTCGTTGCTTCAAAAGTCTATAAATGGTTGCATCTCCAACTAATTAGACGTTTTTATTGCACAAGTTCATTTGATCAATATCGCTTTTTATCGCCTATTATTACTGAACTAACAATTCTGCGTGTTACAGTCACAAGACTATACAAACAGAAATATAAATCTTAACTAAAATAATTTACAATCTGCATAACACTTTCTGCCGATTAGAAATTTTAATCATTTCTAAGAAAATTAGGGGTTACTTAAATTGATCTTGATTTGTAAATATCTTCTACCTGTAGAGATACGTACTTAACTTATTTTTGTTGATTAAAATGACTAAAAAATTTAAGACAAAAATTGAAATAAATTGGTATTTTTAAATATTTTAGAAAGAAAATCAAAGATTTTATTTTGGAACAAATAATGCTAAACATTTTATTTTAGAAATTCTCCGTCACTGATTTATGATGTTATATTGGGATTTATCTCCTGGGTCATAAAAAGTTTGCTATCATTCTTTTTCAAATAAACTATAAATATGAGCAATTTTTTTATTCCATAAACATTTGCATATAGTTAAATTGGAAAAACAAATATTTTTAATTTTTTTTTTTTTTTTTTTTATTCAATACAACATATTAAAAGTTCTAAACCTTGACACTAGCAAAACTTTTAAATGCAACACCCTTTATATATTTTTATCATCTAACAAAAAAAGTATTTATTGGAATAATTTATATATCCTTAAGTAATTGTACATAGAAGTATGGTAGATTCCTCACTTTAAAATATTACGATTTAAACCAACTTGCTTTAATAAAATGTTGCTAATAAGAAATATACAGGGTGTTAAAGGTTAAATTTTATGATTTTTTTTTGCAATAACTAACGTTTTACGATATAATCGCATTTTAGGGATCAGCTGCATGATTATTATTGAAAACATTTAGAAAACAAATTAAAAAAAAAAACTAAGCTAAATAATATTTTAACTTTAATTGTGTCACATTAAATGTTCGATATGTCCCCACGTTCCATAAAAGATCGTCTCATATTAAACAACATCATTGGATCGAAAAAACTCGCTGCTCTATTTATTTCTTCCCAAAATTGGTCGCCGGTATTTATGGGATCCTTATAAACAAGTTGTTTCATTGCACCCCATACATCGAAATCGAGATGATTCAAGTCTGGACTACGTGCTGGCCATGGGAAATGGCTACCACGACCAATCCAGCGTTCAGGAAAGTTGTTATTTAAATATGTTTTGACTGCTCTCGTATTATGCGGCCGTGCACCATCTTGCATGAACCACATATTTTGCCTTATATTCAGTGGCAATTCTTCCAATAGATTAATGAAATCATTTTGCAAAAAATGTAAGTAGGTCTCAATATTCAAATTACGGGGTAACTTGTATGGTCCTAAGAAATTGTTACCAATGATACCACACCATACGTTTATTTTGAATTCATATTGGAAATGCCTTTCTCGTTTACCATGGGGATTTTCAATAGCCCAAAGATGATTGTTCCTTAAATTAAAAATACCACGGCGGGAGAAGGTAGCTTCGTCGGTAAATAATATTCTGTCGACGAAGGTGTGATCAAGGTATTGTTTGTTTCGGATAGCACTTGCAAATTGGTATCTGAAGGGTAGATCTGCTGGCAATAATTTGTGTACCGGAGTAAAATGGTATGGGTGATACTTCTCGAGGTGCAGTCTTTTTAAAATAGAAGTTTTACTGATTTCTAAAGCAGCAGATAAACGCGGTGTACTAACTTGAGGATCATCTTCAATGCGAACCATTATTTCGTCATCTTTATCAGGCGTAATTATTCTTGGTCGGCCTAAGTTATCACGCTTAGGACGAAACGAACCACTTTCGCCTAAATTCCTAAATTGATTTTTGAATGTCAGATGATAAGGTTTCTTCCTGTTTGGATATCTTCTCAAATATTCTCGTTTCGCAGCAAGCCCATTAAAATTTTGCTGGCAGTAAATAGCAACCATATCTCTCATATCTGTTTTAGAATAATTAATATGCCTTGGCATTTTCTGCGTTTTTTAAATTAACCAAAATAAATGCAAACTAAATATTACAAGACTGACATAATATTGAAACAAATCGAATGCTTTGCTGTCAAAATCATTCGTGGCGTCCGCCTACTACGTTAATAGTTGCTGAAATGAATAATTATTACTTTGGGAAGAAATAAATAGATCCAATGATGTTGTTTAATATGAGACGATCTTTTATGGAACGTGTAGATAAATGCATCGACGAGAATGGAGGACATATCGAACATTTAATGTGACACAATTAAAGTTAAAATGTTATTTAGCTTAGTTTTTTTTTTAATTCGTTTTCTAAATGTTTTCAATAATAATCATGCAGCTGATCCCTAAAATGCGATTATATCGTAAACCATTAAGTTTTAAGGTTAATAACAAGTATACTTTTCTTCTATTAAAATAACGTGGCTTTAATATTCTTTTACAAAAATACCGCTAACTTAAACAGCAAAAAAATTTAGGGCACATGTATGCCACAAATGTAGCCTATGTAGCGCCCTCTACAAATTACATCGAAGTAGGTACCAGATTATGATTTTTCGTACCCAAAAACCTCTATTTCCAAATTTTTATGTATACATGTATACATATTCAAAAAGATCTTAAAATTTAACCTTTAACACCCTGTATATTTCTTATTAGCAACATTTTATTAAAGCAAGTTGGTTTAAATCGTAATATTTTAAATTGAGGAATCTACCATACTTTTATGTACAATTACTTAAGGACCCTGTGTACAAAAAAGTTCATAGTA